TTTTGTTGCAAACATCACATTCATAAGGTTTGTCTCCAGTGTGTGTTCTTTTATGAAGCACTAAGTGGCTCAACTGTGAAAATCGTTTGTTGCAAACATCACATTCATAAGGTTTGTCTCCAGTGTGTGTTCTTTTATGCCGAGTTAAACTACTCAGATCTGAAAATTTTTTGTTGCAAACATCACATTCATAAGGTTTGTCTCCAGTGTGTGTTCTTTTATGAAGCACTAAGTGGCTCAACTGTGAAAATCGTTTGTTGCAAACATCACATTCATAAGGTTTGTCTCCAGTGTGTGTTCTTTTATGCCGAGTTAAACTACTCAGATCTGAAAATTTTTTGTTGCAAACATCACATTCATAAGGTTTGTCTCCAGTGTGTGTTCTTTTATGAAGCACTAAGTGGCTCAACTGTGAAAATCGTTTGTTGCAAACATCACATTCATAAGGTTTGTCTCCAGTGTGTGTTCTTTTATGCCGAGTTAAACTACTCAGATCTGAAAATTTTTTGTTGCAAACATCACATTCATAAGGTTTGTCTCCAGTGTGTGTTCTTTTATGAAGCACTAAGTGGCTCAACTGTGAAAATCGTTTGTTGCAAACATCACATTCATAAGGTTTGTCTCCAGTGTGTGTTCTTTTATGCCGAGTTAAACTACTCAGATCTGAAAATTTTTTGTTGCAAACATCACATTCATAAGGTTTGTCTCCAGTGTGTGTTCTTTTATGAAGCACTAAGTGGCTCAACTGTGAAAATCGTTTGTTGCAAACATCACATTCATAAGGTTTGTCTCCAGTGTGTGTTCTTTTATGTCGAGTTAAACTACTCGGATGTGAAAATTTTTTGTTGCAAACATCACATTCATAAGGTTTGTCTCTAGTGTGTGTTCGGCTAACCGCTAACTTGCTCGAGTTTGAACATCTTTTGTTGCGAATATCGCATTTATAATATTGGCCTCCAGTGTGTGTTCTTTTGTGTTGCACCAAATTTCTTTTCTTTAAAAACATCTTGTTACAATACTCGCATTTCATAGACATGATTTGAGCTTTTGATTTTTCTCCGTACGGTTACACGTGCGGTCAAATTTCGATAAAAATATCACCCAACTGTTCCCTCGAGTCTTTCTTTATTGAATCGTTAAACTACTTCGGTACTTACAGAAATTCTGATCATAAAAACGAAAATATTCGGAACACAGTTGCAACCAACACCAATATGAAAATATGGCGCCCAAAAAGAATTCATTGTCGTGTTTCCACTTTTCAAAAATAAATTTTGATTTCGCAACAGATAGAATAAATCCAAACTGGAACCAAAAAATGGCGCTGCTGCAGAGATGAAATGATCCAGCTTTTTTGTGCCAAATTTTTTTGTTTCATAATTTATAATTATTAATGTAGAAGTCATCTTTGCGTTAGATGGGAACTCTTATATTAGTGACAGACTTATAACGGCTGACGAATTACATCCTCCTTCTCATTGTTTTCCAATATAAGGGAGCGATCATAAAGTAAGTGCTACCCGGGGCGGAGGATATTTTTAATTTTGTGAACAAAATTTCATACCCCGACAAAATTGTTGGATAATATTTGGTACCCCATCGGGATAACAGTCTCAATGTTTCATACCCCATTACAGACCTGAGCCTGTCAACCTTAAAATTTTAAAACAGATGGGGTTTTTTCTTTTTAGCCCTTAAACTGTGAGATTTTATCAAAAAACGGGAGAGCAAAATTAAAGTCGTGTGCAGTGTTCAAAACAGTACAAAATTCTAATCATTTTCCCGGCTTTATAATAATTATAATTGCATTCGCTTCAACAACTTCTTTAATTTAATTTAATGCTAACATGGCAAGAATGCAACCAGTATTTGAGATCTCACGTTACATGTTACAATAATCTACTTATCGCTTATAGTGCGAAAGTGGATAAAAAAGCTGAACATTTGTAGTTCATGGAGTAAGTTTCAGCTTGGACACGAGTGATTTTCACACAATTACTATTTCTTGCCAGATATTTGAATCTGGAAAATATTCCATTACCTCATAACAATTAAAACAAGCAACCAGGAGAAAATATCTTGATACCGGGAGAAAAAGGTCAAAACCGGGAGTCCTCCCGGCAGCACCGGGAGAGCTGACAGGTTTGCCATCATAAAACGACAAGATTACCAGGGTTTTTTCATGTTGATATGACCGGGGGTGTGCTGACAGGGCGCACCCCTCAGAAATTCTGTTGACTATTTGCCATTATCCTATAAGTTTTATTTTTAGTAAGTTTTATCTTTCTTTACTAAAAATAACAAAAAAGTAAAATTCACATCCAAAATGCTGTTTTTTTTACCCCCATTGAATACGACCACCTGTCAAAAATTGGCGAATATTGCTAATATTTTACCCATTTTGGTTATTTTATACAAAGAGATAAAAAACATTTTGGATGTGACATTGGGTCTTTTACATTCAAAAGACATGCTTTTATGCGATGGCATATCTCAGATGTCCATAAACATCATTATTTCTCTTTACAAACTGGCATTTCTATACCATATGAAAAGATATACAACTGAAACTGACCTGTCTCCCCATATAAACAATCCAAATCATTTTCAACATCACTGATTTCACCATCATCACTGTAGTCCAGTCAAATCACTATAAGTACATGGTCCTGATCAAAGTAATCGCAATAGATTTTTTTTCAGTGGTAACGTGTGTGAAAAGTTGTTCTGATTAACATATTAAAAATAAAAAAAAAATCCCATCGGTGGAACATGGTGAAAATCAAGTTTTTCTTACTTCTACCTATAGAAAACCATTGCGGACAATTTGTTGAAATTTTGAACTTATTTGTTTGCAAATATAACATGCATCATTGGAAAGCTTAGAAAAAACTAAAATATACATCATTGAACAGTTACCTTGCTTTTGGCTATCCAGCCGAAGTTATACAATATTTAAAATGACATAAATTTGTATTTTGTGCGAATTTTGCACTATTTTTCCAACTTTGAGCTAGAATAAAGACAAACTGACCAGTAAATTGAATATAACGGTTTAGGTGACCTTTATATAGTTTTGTTTAAGCTTTCCAATAATGTAGGTTACATTTGCCTAAAAATGATTTCAAAATTTGAACATTCTGTCCACAATGGTTTTCTATAGGTAGAAGTAAGAAAAACTTGATTTTCACTATGTTCCATGCCACCGAAGGGATTTTTGGGGATTTTTAGTATGTTAATCAGGACACCTTCTCTCACATTTTACCACTGAGAAAAATTCTACTGCAATTTCCTTGACCTCTGGTCACAGATTGACTGGACTACTGTGACATGCACTGTCATTGTTGTCACATTGTCCCATAAATCGCATAAATAGCATAATATTCGTAATTGCGCATTTTGCTGAAACTCTAGCTCTTTTTGGTGGCATAACTTCTTTAGTATAAACCGAAGAAACAATGAAGTCGATCAAATCCATGTTTTTATACCAGGCCAATATACTATGTAGGTGGGCTACGAAAATACGAGTATGCAGTATAGTTTTGAAAAAACGATATTTACTTTGAAAATCATGACAATCCTCTGGATTTTTTGCAAAACATTTTATACTAAATTGGTACATTTGTTGTATCAAAGAAGTTCATATACTCTGCAATATATTATGGTTCCTAAATGTTTGGTGTTCGCTCGCAGACAGGGAGATGTTATGCCTTGAAGGTATAAAGAAATAAGTGTATTTGTATATATAAAAATATTATAAAGAAGTATTATTATTTTTTTATTTGTGCATGCCTAGTGATATTTTTTGATTTCCTGCAATCTGATTGGCTGCAGCAACGGGCAGCTTTTTACGATATCTTGACCGTGGTCCAAAAGAGTTATTTTTCGCGAAAAACCGAGGAGTGAAGACAATTTTCAAACTCAAAACACTACCCAAAATTATGCAATGGAATAATGGGAACACTTTCGAGCATAATGTGCGTGTCCCTACTCAGCCATCCGTTGCTGTTAATATTCAATAAGTATCAGGAATCGCCTTTCCATTATTAGAATAATATAGTAAAATGCACTGCGCGTCAGAGAAAACACGGGCAGCTTAACCGCGGGTTTTCGCTGATTAAACATTTTGCCCTATCGTTTTCAGATCTCAGATTTTCTTTCGCTCCTTAAAAAACTCACAGCAAGCTATGGTAGACTTGGTGACTAATCTGTAGGGCCATGTAATTGATAGCTATATACAGTATTTAAATAGCGACCTCGAATACTTGACGGAAATAATTCAATCTGGAAGTTGCGGAAGACCGGTAACTCAAATGCATGTATGATGGGGGAATTTGTCTTGAATTTATCCCCGAGCCGACGGCGCGAAGCGCCGTGCGAGGGTACTAATTCCCCCCGGCTATTTACACCCGGGGAAACGAAAGCATTAGCCAAGTCTAAAGTTCATCAAATATCGCGGGCGTGGCTCACCAACGAAGTTTCGGTGGGTGGTCATCCTCACTGATCTCAAAAATATGGCGGACTGTCATGAATAGCGGACACGGATTGGTCCAATTTACATTATAACGACTGCATGACGACAGCGAAACAGCAAACATTTCTTGATTTGATGATTGATAAATTTCTTGCAAATATATCTTATTTTTGCTCGCATTTTTGCAACATTTTGTAAATTTCAAGAAAGAAAAGACTAAAGAATGGGCTAAAAGAAGGGAGCCGACGTTAACAAAGGTAAGTTTGTTTTAAATATTTATTTTATAATTGTTTTAAAACCCGACGGCCTTTGAGTATATGATAAAGTTCATTTCTTGCAAGTTGTATTTTAGCAAGATTTTGTAAATTTCAAAACCTTTCTGAGAGCCAAAAACGTCTAAAAACGTCTAAAAGAATAGAGCAAAGTCGCCGGCGTTAGCGAAGGTATAGTCGTTTTAAATATTGATGTATTTTTTGTCTTATAATTGATATATTTATAACTGATAGTGGTGGGCGATACGGCGAATATCGAACTAAACCTATCATTGCGTATATAAGTGAAAAAAGACAGCATATAATTTCAGTGTAGTTTTATTAACTACTTTTTCTTTTGTCCCCGAGCCGGCGACGCGAAGCGCCGTGCGAGGGTACTAATTCCCCCCCGGCTATTTACACCCGGGAAAACGAAAGCATTAGCGGAGTCTAAAGTTCATCAAATATCGCGGGCGTGGGTGACCAACGATGGGTGGTCATCGTCACTGATCTCAAAAATATTGCGGACTGTCATGAATAGCGAACCATGATTGGTCAAATTTAAAATTTGTTGTTGTATGACAAATGACGACTTCAACTGACGGATACTTCATGAAAATCATTTGCTTTTTGCACTACAGTATTTTGTACGTTTGCAAAAACTTTTGACAACTTTAAAAGCAATTTGTTATATAAAAAATTTAACAGGCTGGAGAAAGTACCGAGGAAAAAGAAACTCGCTTGACAAAACGAAGAGACGCTTGGCAAGAAAGGACTCCAGAAGTTAAGGGTAAGCGAAAAGAGTATAAGAGGGTGTATAATGTAGATAAAATGCAAAATGAGACTGAAGAAGAAGGAACAAACAGGCTGCAAAAGAGAAAGCAAGACCAAACAACCGAAACAGTTGATGAACGAGCAAGAATACTTGAAATATTACGAGCACTTTTTCACACAGCAAGTGCAAATGAAAATGACCAAGAATCACATGAGCAGTTGAGTATGTATGTTGATCCAACTGTAGATATATCTGTTCCTGAAGCAGACGAGGATAGTGAGTCTGTACATGAAGCAGAGGGACCAGAGGTGAGTAGAAATGAATATTTACATGAGGGTGGTTGGCAAAATGTTGACAACCCTCTGCATGAGCTAGAGTTTGTACAAAATGAAATGCACAGTTTTCATTTAGATCAAGAACATTTAGAGCATCGACAATGTACAATGTGTAAAGAAGCTTGGCCGACACGACAGAACTTGGCATCAGAAGTATACATTTGTTACCGGTGCAAGAGAGACAAGAAATCACCCAAGAAATTTAGTGCGGAGAATGACATGGACCCAGGAATAGTTCCTGAACAATTGAGAGGTTTGACACAGGTAGAAGAAATGTTAATTTCAAGGGTTTGTCCCATTATGAGAGTGTATAGAAAACATGGGGGTCAGAGGGGGTATAAAGGGCATGTACTTAACTTACCACAAGATATTCAAAGTTTCTTGAATAGGTTGCCTTCACGTGTGGCAGACTTGCCTGTCTTGATTGTGCGAAGACATGGTGCAGAAGACACACATCGAGACTTTACTGTGCGTTGACACAAAGTTCTCGAGGCTGTGTTATGGTTAAAGACAAAAAATCCGTTCTTTAAAAATATCGAAATTGATAGATATGTCATCCAAAGTTTACCAGAAAATGGTATTCCCGATGAGCTAAGGTATGTCATTGATGAAAATGAGCTTTCAGTTCATGTTGAAAATGAGGGGCCTCCCCAAGACCCAGTAATGAGTGCTAATGCAAGTGTGGAAGAGTTAGTTTTAGGAAGTGGCAGTACATCGTTTATTCCTATGCGCCAATTAGCAAAGACAGAGAACAGAAGGTGCGGCTATCCAAGACGCAGTAAATGAGGTTGATCCGTTAGACTGGCCATCTACTGAAGGTAATCTCGTTAATGAATTTAAAACAGATGGTTTAGCTACTATGGCCTTTCCTACATTGTTTCCTTATGGGAAGGGTGACCCAACAAATAGGGCAAGACAACATGGTATAACGTTAACCGAAGCTTTCAAACATTTAATGAAGTTTGCAGAGAGGCTTGCAGATGGTAAGTTTGAATGGAGGTTTGCTTCTCACCCACGGTTTCCTTATTGGGCGTTAAACATGAAACAACGGCATCAGCTGTTGTCACAAGCAAATGTTTACTTGCGTCAACATCCTGCTGATGCAAACATGACAATGGAAGAACTGAAGCAGATGGTCAATTCCATGAGTGCAAACCAAATGGTGAATAGGTTGCAGCGCTATGTGTCCAAAGTACAAGGTACGAATCAGTATTGGTATCAGCGGCTGCAGGAATTGCTGGCCCTGATTGAACAAAAAGGCTGCCCTACTTTTTTCTTTACCTTTAGTGCAGCTGACATGCATTGGCCAGACTTACAGAGGCTGTTGCAGAATGATGAAGGTGCAAGCAGATCTGAGCGAGCACAAGCTGTAATCGACAATCCCCATCTGACTGATTGGTTCTTTATGCAGCGGCTGCAGGAGTTTGTCAGACATTGGCTTAATGGCGTCTTGGATGCTGAGTGGCACTGATATCGATTTGAGTACCAAGCTAGGGGAAGTATTCATTGCCACGGATGTGCAAAGTTAAAAAATGACCCTGATATCAGAAAATTACGTAATAAGGCATGTGTTGCATTCCTAGAGTGTGAGACAACAAGATACGAAATGTCACCTGATGATTTTGAATTCCTTTGCGGGGATGTGATAAGACAAGGAGAAGATGCTGAGAAGTTGTTATTAATACAGTAAGAAAAAATATTTTCCATATTAATGTTTCCATATACTGTATGTGTACTGTAGACCAAGCTAACTTTGCAGAATCTGTTGTGGGATAATTGTTTCAATAATATTATAACTTTATCCTGCAACAGGCCTTCAAATGCATGTACCGGCACAATAACGGATCCGAATTATTGCAGTAGTTACACAATACCGGACTCGCTTCTCATGGTCATAACATTGAATTTTGCATTTTTAAAGATGTCTTACTGTACCTCCTACTCAATATATTGCAATAGCATTTCAAAATACCATGAAAACTGTACAAGGCATGCTCCCAAATGTTGATATTAACTAAAAGTGTGCAGGTCAAATGTTCATGTGAACTAAAAAGCGAATTTTGTATTGTGCATGTATTAACCACCGCTGCCTATTTTGGATATTTAATAATATGACTACTACTGTAAATATAAAGGCAGGATAAACTACTGTATACAACTTTTGCCTAAAACTGTCGCATACAACCTGCATATATATATATATATGTACAACTTGAGTGTCTGGGTAAACCAAGCACACAACTATGGCTATGACAACGTATTAAAGCGAATTTAATACAGTCAGTCAACTTGTGTGCTTGATATTTTACACAGTACAACTCAAGTTGTACAAGCAGGTTGCATAAGGCAAAAGTTGTGTAGTGTAAATCTGCCTTAACACACAAAACACTCACCAAATATCCAGCTAATAATATATGCAGATAGCCAATCTCCACAATTTTGAAAGGTCTTTCGCCCATGTTTTTTATTATTATGCATATTTAATATATTATAATACGGTAGTATTAAATTTGCTACATTTAAATTGAAAAAGTAACAATATTTTACGTGTAAACAAAAATTCCTTATAAAATTCCTTAAAAAGTTTCAATTTTCCTCAAAGGAATTTTCAATAATTTCTGAAGATACCATTGAAATGCTGCCTCGTCCCCAGGCGCTAATAAAAAAAATTTCATGCGAGTCACTATATGAAAGGTTTACATGAAGTAGTGCGTCACATTCTAGGCGCGCAAAAGGGGAGTGGGATATGAGCGTTCTGGTTAGCGCCTGGCCGATCTTGTATAAATAGCTGTCGAACATACAAGTAAACAACAGATCTAAATATAAATCCCTTCATGTATATCACCACAAAGAAATAAAGCTATCCTTATCTGAATTATTCAAAATATTGTCGATCGTTTGCATCGTGAAAATCAAACATACTGCATGTAAATAAGCACGTAACTGAAATCCTGAGACGAATCTTGCAAATGCAATTCAAAATAAAGTCGCATCGCTCCCTTGTTTAAAAAACGTCTTGTAGCTGTATATTTTTAAAATAAATTGCTCAATTTTGATGCCTCAAGCCCATAACCCCCTGCGCTTGTTCATCGCGATGCACTACTTCATGCACTACTTCATGAAATTTTTAATTAGCGCCTGGAGACGAGGCAGATTGAAATGTAAGAAATTACATAAATAGAAAGTGGAAATTTAAAGTGGAAAGTGGAAAATATTTCACTCAGTCAATGGTGTGATTAAAACTGTTTTATGGCTAATTTGGTAATATTTGGCTAATACAACGAGCGTGCACATGTTCAATAATAAGTTATGATTTTATATTTTAAAGGTATGTTGACTGGCTGGTGACAACTTTTAATGAGGAATTACCGGATGAAAACTGGAGGATACCAGACCCTCACCCATCTGCTGTTAGTGCTACGACAGTGGATAATCGTGACAATGATTATCACAGGTTAGTTAATACTGTAGAAAGACACACTAGATGCAGTCCAGCGTATTGCTTGAAACAGAAAAGAGTGGATCTGCTTGCAGAATGCAGATTTGGTTTTCCAAAGCCATTACAAGAAGAAACAGAACTGAGTCTTGAGCTGGTGGTAAGTAAGAATACTAAGTCTGTTGAGTCAGAGTTACATACCAAACGAAATGATCAAAGATTAAATTCGCATAACAGGGTGATGCTCGAAAACTGGCGGGCAAATGTAGATTTGCAAGTCATTGTAGATGAGAAGGCTTGTGCAAGATACATGGCCAAGTATGCTGCGAAAGGAGAACCCCGATCAAAATCGGCGTCAGAAATACTAAAATTGTCTGTGTCCTCATTACAGAATGATAATCAAGTCTCTTCGGCCTTCAAGAAAGCAATGATCCAAGTTGCTGGGGATAGAGATATGGCAGCACAAGAAACTGCGCATATGTTACTTAGTCTACCGCTGGTTGGCTGCACATTTAGTTTTGTTACTATTTCTTTAGATAACAGCAGGAAGGTTAATATTGATGCAGAAAACGAAGGCGATGAGGTACTTCAAAAATCTGCACTACAAGAATGTGGAGAACGTGCAAAATTGAAGAGTAGGTATACAGGCTTGTCTCAGCTAAATCTGATGCAATATATGTCACAGTACACCAAAGTCAGAGGTGAGTTGACAAAACGAGCAAATCCGTACATTGTCAGAACATTTCCAAAGATTTCCGCTACTGCAAATATCAGCTGATAAAATTTAAACCATGGGAGGGTCAACCGTCAAATGCTTGGAACAATGAAGATGAAAGTGATGAAATGTTTATTAATACTTATGATTTTTTTCTTATGACAGATGAATTTGCAGAAGAGAATGTGTTTCGGTATTCCGATGAAACAGACAGAGTTCATGATGCGCAATGTGGTCAAACCTTTGAAAACGATCCAAGTGACAATCAAGATGATGACGATGAAAGTGAAGCTGATCCTTATGAGGAGGAGGAAGTTGATGATCAATTGGATGTTGTTGTGCAGAATTAACCAAGATTATGGGGAAGCAGGGAATCGGCTGTCAGACAATGAAGCAGTGGATTGGTTTGAAACGGTAAGAGTTGTGCCTAGAGATTTGTTAAGGGGATCTCCAGGATGGATCTATAGTCAGAGAAAGGAGGCTGAAGAACATGGTCAGCAATTCCGAGAAGATGATCAACAATGTGTAATTGATCCGGAGACCTTGAATGAAAAACAACGGCTTGCTTACGACATCATCACATCTGAGAATGGTGATAATGCTGAGCCTGTTTATATGATTGTGTGTGGAACAGCTGGCACAGGTAAGACATACTTAATAAGTGCTGCGAAGCAAGTATTAGGCACTCAGTGTGTTGTTACAGCAACTACTGGGATTGCAGCCTTTAGTATTAATGGTCAAACATTACATTCTGCTGCTCAACTTCCTATCCGTGAATATAGGGATTTGCAGGGTGACTCGCTACAGCGGTTACAGCTGAGGTTAGAAGGTAAAAGATTTCTGATTATTGATGAAATGTCAATGATTGGACATAAAATGCTATCATGGCTGGACAATAGATTACGTGCTGGTACTGGAAAGCAAGATATCCCTTTTGGTGGTATGTCAGTAATTCTAATGGGCGATTTTGGTCAATTACCACCTGTTGGTGATAAGCCAATGTATGTTTCAGGTAACGGAACGGTAGTAAGTGACCATGGACATAGTCTGTATCTGATGTTTGAGTCTGTCATTATTTTAGATCAAGTTATGCGTCAGGCTGGTGAGGACCCTGAGGCAGTTGCTTTTAGAGCCTTGCTGATGAGAATGCGGAATGGAAAAGTGACAGAGGAGGACTGGAAACTATTGTTGGAGCATTCAACAACAAATGTACCAATGGATCAATTCACTGATGCCATCCGATTGTACTTTGACAAGAAAAGTGTTGCTGAATACAATTACGAGAAGCTATTGCAGCTTAGACAACCTGTCGCTAAAATTCAGGCAAAGCATTCTGGTCATGGTGCCAGTGCGGCCATGTCAGACGAAGCTGGTGGATTGGACGCCGTTCTGTTTTTATCCACAAAAGCAGAAGTAATGCTCACTTGCAACCTGTGGGCTGAAGTTGGTCTCTGCAATGGCTCATTTGGCACTATCGAGCAGATTTGGTTTGCAGAGAATTTGGGTCCACCAAACCTGCCAATAGCAGTACTGGTACACTTCCACAGTTACTCTGGTCCTGCATTCTTAGATTCATGTTCTAAATGTATACCTGTGCCACCCAAAGTGTTTGAATGGATGGCTGATGGAAAGTACTTGTCAAGGCAACAAGTGCCGTTGCGGTTGAGGTATGCAATGACCATTCATAAGTCACAAGGACAGACACTAACAAAAGCTGTTGTTGATTTAGATAAAGGAGAAAAAGTTGCTGGATGCACATTTGTAGCTACATCACGGGTGAGATCGATTCATGATATTGTGTTTGAGCCTATGACATTTGATCGCCTGAAAGCAATTGGTAGGAGTAAAAATATGCAAAAACGACTCGAAGCTGAAGAGCGACTTAAAGTGCTTGCAGAGAAAACTGTCCAAACATATAATAGGTCATGAGTTGTCATAAATTGAATAGTTGTGGTGTTAAGCACCAGTATAGTATACTGGGCACATATACTGTGCTTTCGAGGTTATTTCTCCTGTTACTAGGCACGATTTTAGAGGTGTAGTCTATGCCTCTATTATTGTGTTTTTGAGGAAGGCATTCAGGGAGTTTGTCATTGCCTGTTACCTAGACATAATATTATATATTATGTTTTTGAGGTTGGCTGCATGTTGACATACCTGTACTTTATATTAAATAATATTATGACGTATATATACTATAAATTTTAAACTTTGTATTCTACATAATATTTTATATCTTTAGAAATTGAGCCAAATTTATATAATGGTAAGTTTTTTCTCCTGTTTTCAGTATTCTATTCATAAAACAGTTCGCTTCAGATCAAGACTACAGGGGCCGGTTGTACGAAGCCTAACGAAGGCCAGATAGCGCTACCCACACACCGGATAGTGATTTTTCAAGCTTTGTTAAATCAGTCGTTGATTGGTATAACTCATATTAAAGTTTAGTATTTATAAATTAAATGTTTTTTATACTTCTTGTGTCGTCTATATCCGTAGTTTCACAGTTTTCAAGCATTTTATAAAGGTTGAAAAAATCACTATCCGGTGGATACCGCTATATCCGACCTTCGTACAACAGGCCCCAGAATATAAATATTCAAGACAATCCAGATCACTCTTCGTGGATATTGCGTGTGGTACTATGGTTACCGAAAATTCACACGCAACATCCACGTAAATACGAAGCGCGCGAAATTTTGCCGGTTTTTGGCTTTTTTGTGAGGCAGTTCTGACAGTAAGTTTTTTCCGAAAAAAACAACTTTAAAATTTGTTCAAGTTTTTTGAACATACACTGTATCTTTGACCGAAAAATAATTACACTACTACTTGTAGAATATATATGTTTTGGGCAAAAATAACTTCATTTACTGGGTTTGTCACAACAAAAAAGCTTTTCGTGTTTTTTTAACAGTTTTTTGTTTTGTTTTCAGATACGGTATTTCAAATAATTAGGCGAAAAGGTACGACTATATTTTAAAATTATTTATAGTATGCTTCTTAGCTGATGTTAAACAGCCTCTGCTTCATGGTCAAAAACATTCCTGTTCAATATCAAGATAAAAATTTATTCAATATTAGTTTTAATATGCACTGGGAGTGGAGATGTTGTATTTTATTAATGATTTCCTTTAATATTTTCTTTTATAATTATAGCAAAGATTTAACAAACTCAAAAGTAAGTTGCTCCAATTTTTTGAATAAGCGAATAAAACCATATTATTTAAAAGGGTGCTTCACGGTTGAACGTATAGGTATAGCTTGGACTTATAAACTTAGCTATTTCATAACTAATCCCGATATTATATATATTTGATAGTGGAATTACCGGAACTGGATGACCCTGCTATTCTTGGTATGTACATTACAATAAATATGCGGTATAATATCTACTTTTTGGTCTTATATAAAGCAACATTCATTCTAGCTGCTTGTACCTCACATAAAATTAAATGGACTTACAACCAATAGTAAATAGGTGTGAACAGCTAGAGGCCAGTTGTGACCAATTGTTTGGCTACAGTTGTACAGAGGTATATTTGTGACCTCGAGGCACAGTTGTGACCAATATTCCAGTGACCATGCAGAGGTACAGTTGTGACCAATTTCTTGGCGAAAGCCTCTGGGCCAGCCACGATGAAATATTTTCTCATATAAACATGTTTTAAAATTCAACCCAATTACCGTACCATGTAGTTGTAGATTGTCCTCTCTTACACATGTAATAAAGTGTATACTGACTGACAATTTCATTTTAATACAGACCAGATTTATAACATCTATGGATTATCAATTTGCAATATCATGCATATGACACAGTTACCTCCTCTTTAATTAACCTTCTAACACAACATCTTGTATTTTAGACGTTCATGTTGATGATGGTAAGAATTCAGTTATATACAGTATTTAAAACACAAATTCTTAAAGGTCATTCTGTTTGAGAAATAATAAAATCTGAAGTACTCAATTGACAAGAAAGGATTAACTTTCAATTATTTTCTCCATGGTAGAGTTGTGAATGTTTTCTAGAATGATACAATAATGATTGATATTAAGAATTATTATGTACAATATATTACAGATTAAGTATATTACAGATTTCTTATGAATATTCGCAACATTTTTTTCTAATTAACTATAGATATTGACAAAGCTTAGAGGACGAAGGAGAAGTCCAGCCACGTAAGTTAACTTTATAAAATAATATGTTCAGTATGGTTCAATCATATTTATAATTATATTACCGGCATTACTTATACAATAAAGTGCATGATTAATTGATTTTATTTCAGTGAATAAAGAACCTCGACAAGAACATGCAAATGTTATGGTTCTAATGTTGATATAATAGTTCTTTTCAGTTCAACACCGACAACAACATCCACGGCAGGTAATAGTATATTCTTTATAAAGTTTAATTATACCTCTGTTGTGTACATGTAATTCAAACTAATCAACATTCTTTCATTTCAGTTAATCATGAACGACACCCACAACGTCGTGACGGTATAGTTCTTGAAATAGATTTATACACTACTGACAGAGGTCTGTTATTGAACGCACGATTATAGTACTAGCTCCGGGTCAAAATTTAACACATTGTTTTGAATTTGTATATATATATATATATATAGAGTAGAACTTCACATCTGTTTATAACTTGTTATCATGCATGATCCATACAAAATTTCTGATAAAATACTTCCAAGTTTACAAAGAAGTCTAGCTCTGCGAAGTTTGCTTTGGATTTTATATTAACCCAAATAGGCCAACCTGCTTTTCAATAACTGACCCCAATTGTCTATATTATCCCAATTGTCAGCTATATACATATATTTAACTTCTTTTGATTCTATTTTTCTAACTTAGAAAATCAAGCAAGGAGAATAGGTAATGGTACTGTATATTTTGTTAAATATTTTGTTTAGCATGAAAATGTAAACTATCAACATCTTAGTGAGTGCACTTCCAGTATGTACTGTAACCTAAATGAATATTCTTGAAAACTGATTGTATTTTCTTTAAATTTAGCACGTTGCTATAAGTGTGGCCTTCGTGGC